AAAACGATTTTATAGACGTTATCACGTCAAAATTAAAAATATTTATTTTTAATTACATAGTTTCGTCACATAAAACGTTTTATAAACTGAAATATGAAGAATTTTAAACGTAATCATATCTGTTTTCGATCGAATTTTAAATAATTTTTTTGACATTGACATTGATATGTCACAGACTGATTGTTTACATTCGCTTTGTTTACCTACATTGAGAGTGTTGATTTATTGTGGATTTTCTTTCAACGATTGTTTATTCATTATGGACGCCGACCTATCTTTACCAATGACCCCTGCACATCTACGGACCCCGAATTTCGCTCAAACGATGACCCTGGCTTTTGTATTATGGACTCCGATCAAGGCATAAACGATGACCAACACTCACGTAATATGGACCCCGAAACTAGCTCCATCGCTAACCACGGCTTTAATATGGACATTGAACAAAACCAAAGCGTGTCTCATGATAGTCTGCACACAGAAGAAGTGACTTCTTACCAATCCGTATCTCTGAGATGCATAAACTGTGGAACTGATTTGATAGAGCGAAGGCGACATAGTCTAGATCTTAATCAGGTTCAGTCTATTATAAGACAGTGGATAGCTCCTCGACGAGTTAGTGTCAATTCAATTAATTATTTAAATTACTCGTTTTTTAATAGATATGTATTGTATATGCTATTCCTATAATGCAAAATAAGGTTTTATTGTTTTATATAATTATAATAATGTTGTATTATAATAAATGAAAAGATGTTTACTCCTAACACATAAGTTTTGTTATCGAAAATATATAATTAAAATAGAAGGCTGGCAGATTTTCAACCTATCAATGTAAACATGGACAGTTTCATATTTCCAAGAATAGAATATAATGATCTTATATTAATTACATGTGGAACATACCAACTAAACAAGCCTGTTTGTATTATGGGCAGCACATAAGAGGCGATGGTTCCAATACTATAGAAATATGTAGATATATAGCCAGCGACCTATTGGTTGACAACCCAATTCCTTTGGCCAACTGCATATTATTGCGTGGAAAAATACAAAGCAGGCATGTAAGTCGAAAAATATATTTTATATATATATATACCTATTGTGATTATTTTCATATAATATATATTAGGAAGCTATAAAAGAATATTATTGTAATTGCATGGTTGGCCGAAGGACAGTGTGTTGCTGCGCTAATATAATGACTATTTCATTTTTTTTAAGTTGGGCAAGGTATCAGGAATACATTTCACCACCTGTCCAATTTCTTGAACACATATTAATAACATATGATGTCTCAGAATAAAAATAAATCATAAAAATGTTGTTTTATTTTGCTTTAACATGTTTTTTCTCACATGACAAATATCTCTTTTTAAACATTTTGATACAAAACTAAGTTCATATTCTCAATATTACTAGTTAGTGCTTTTAAACTAATTACAAAGAGTATGATAAAATGTCTGTTCACGTCAGGCCAAAGTCCCCATACTAAGTGGACAATCTCCTTCATCATTTATATAAACAATACAAATTTTCTATTATTTATTCACGACACAAGACGATTATTAAAGGTTAAATTAGTTCAGTAGTCTAAAACACACCTACAGCTTCCTATAATAATGCGTTTGCTCAAAGAGTTACCCAATATAAGATGAGAGGAGTATGAAGTTGATAACATTTTAATGATACATACAACAACCCCCAGATTTGTTCCCTGCTGTTTAGTTCTGATGCTGACAAGTCTAATGTCCCTTAGTAATAACATCACACTTTACAATAATAAAAAATAAAAAATATTTTTTTTATTTTCTTTAACAAATTTGTACTTAAATATGTATAAAGTTATAGGAGTCTCCTTTTAAGGATATGAAAAGCCTGTGCCAGGAAACTCCGCTGTTCCATATCACGAATTAGGTACAAGTATACAAGATATTTAAGGGACAACAATAATAAAGAAATAATATAAAAAAGTAATAATAAGAGAAGTAATTACCATAAAGGAAGCAAATGTGGGATTAAAATGTATGTGTATGCATGCGTGCGCGTGCGCATTTGTGTTTTGAATATATATTAACGTATTTATTTATTTTATTATATAAATAAGCAGATCTATTATCATACTGAATCCTAGCGAAGACTGTTTTAGTAGTAGGGATAGATATGACATTATATGCTATACGTTTATTGAGTAACGATATATCGAATACAATTATATACAATTTCCGTACAGTTAACAAACCACTTTCTTTATAGTCTTTCTGTACTGAACCGTTGTTTTTTAAAGAACATTACTTTAATCAATGCTCTTTGAGCTCGTTCAATTTCCATGAATCGTGTTTTACGTGCACCTCCCCAAATAGGTAAGCAGTATGTTATTATGGATTGCACCAAAGCTATATAAATTTGATTTAAAAGATTGTTTGAGGAGTCATTTACAGTATTATTAGCTGCAATATGTCTCAGTGATTTGAACATCCACGTAAACTTCCTAATGCGTGCCGCAACATGTTCAATTTGCAGGTACCATGACAAGTTCTGGTCGACCATTATTCCCAAGTATTTTATTTGACTCACTTTATTTATTAATGGACAATTGCAGTTATTACCTCTTACTTCATTACAATTATGAATTTTTATGCGAAAATTTGTTTTGGGTTGTGAACTATTTTTTATACTGAAAGTGATACAGTTAGTTTTACAGGACCAGCATACTTCCTGTCACGTCGTACGCAGGCGCGTGCTTCACCCACGCTCGTCCCTCAACAATAAACAAACTGCAAGTGTTACAAAACAAATTACTACAACGATGTCTTGATGAGGCGCTCTTGGGACGGGCCTACTCCTTAATTACTGACCCGAAGGGCCCGTATATAACGGGTAGGTCCCGTCGGGCCAACCACTCCTCCTAGTGACACTGTCAAGACTCAAGGCCAACAGTTACAGTGAAGTAGAAACTAAAATATAATTATTATTTAAGAAGACATTTACGAAAACAATATCGTTTTAATTATTCTCCTTAAAAGGCCGTTGTGTATTGTAACTAGAGTTTATTATAAAATTAATATAATCGACATCTAGAATATAATCTATCAAACATGATTTCATTAGCAGGTAATATCAGTTTTACTCATAAACTAATCATTTCAAAGTCTTTAAGACATCCATTCAGGACTCCGATCAGCATCTCTTGCTCAGCAATATTGTTGTGCTATAATATTATGCTCCGACTGGGCTTGATTTACATATATACAGAAAAACTAAAGTTTCATTTAAAAATGTACACATGTGTCTGGCTTGAAACTAAAAACCAATTAGGTATTTATCTTCGTGTTTAGTATTAGTAATAGAGAAATAGATGCTAAAGCTTAAGATCATCTCTTTTGGTGAGAATATATGTTATATACAAATATCTTATTGTGTTGTTGTCTACGGTATCGTTTACATAAATTTAAAAATTGTGTGTCAGGGACAGGGCTATAACAATGTTGATGAAATGAAATATACTGAGGGGTTTAATATGTTTGTATCTTGTATAGTTATCAATGAACAGTTCTAGAATAAATTAGAATACAAAGAAATTACTCAATAGATGGCTTTGTTACCAATCACTTAGCCAATGAATATATAGTTCTGTTTAAATGAAACTAAGACTTGGATTTACAACATATTTATTTTGATATTTTACATATTAACAGACGTTTCGGCTTCTCTTTAGTAGCAGTAATCACGAACAGACGAGACGAAAGAGTCTGCATTTAGTCTTGTTATTACATTATTACAGTTATGAAAGTGGAGCAATCTTCCTTGTACAGTCTTTATTTACTAGTTCACCTAACTACATATATATGATAATTAACGATGAAAGAGAAATGACAATTATGATATACCTATTTCTGTACACATACGTGTCTTAAAGACTATAGTGAATTTAAACATCTCAACATCAATGTAAGCTATATACATTTATATTTATTTATTTTACGAAAAATCATATTGCATCTTAAATTTAAATAAACATATTATATTAAATAGAACGTGTAAAACGGATGGATGTTAGTGAGAAGTTCGAAGTGTTTGTACGTGTAAAACTTGCACAAGATTGGTGTTGGTCCTACGCTAGCGTAGCATTCGCTCATCGGATTCTGAAACCCCTTCAGACTCTCTATAACTGCTTCCTATTCACGATCACGGGCGCCCCGTGGTACCACTATCCCAATCCTCTGGTGAAAGAAGTGATGACCTACCTCCCAAATAGATATCATGAGGGTGTTAGGAGACGCCTCAAGCACGTGCTCAGCGATCCGGAACAAGAAATTACGACTAGCAATAAACGATGCGCCGTGCGAGCGGCGCACATTTATAAAAACGGGCCGACCGACCGAACACACATCCGCGGGATGCCTTGTGAAATCCCGATAGAGTCCATTCTTAGTAACCTTAAGTCACAAGAATTTCCGGTCCAGGCAGTACACCGGATGTACCGCCCGACAAACAAGAAACCGTTCAATATGGTGCTTGTCCACTTGGACAACACCAAAGAGGCAAAAGCCATTTTTAATATACACACGGTCTGCTACCTGTCCGGCTTACAGGTAGAGCTCCCCCGCGGCCGCGGCATCCCTGGGCAGTGTCATCGCTGCCAATGCTACGGCCATTCCGCTAGATTTTGCTACGCACGCCCGAGATGCATGAAATGCCTAGGCGACCACGCGACGGTCGAGTGTTCCGATGGTGTTTGTGTTACGTGTCAACAAGTTACAGAAGAGGTCAGAAGATCGACGTGTCCGGCGTCGATAAGCAGTATCAGGAAAAGGGTAGCAGTCACCGCCGTATAGTCGCCGTTGTCCTGCCACCCTCACAAAGTATTTACACAGTCGTTAGGGGTTAGGGAAATAGGTACACCCCTGTTACCTAATAACAGGGTCTAGATTAGAATCAAATAGATTACACACCTCCCTGCCTTGCAGGGAGGACTCCCCTTAAGTCCGTCGAACATCATGGGCGACCATATTTCGGGCCGTGCAGAGGCCCTATTAGCGTTCATTATCAAAAAATATCCAGATGCGTACAAGGAGTTCACCGAGGTGAACCCTGAAGTAAACCCCACCGTTTTCGATACGGACAGCCCGGCCTCACCGGACTGTCCAAAAAGCAATCCATGTGACATGGATTGCTCGCCAATCGGCTCGGAAGCCGAGTCAGACACGACGCCGTCCTCCTCGGACACAGAGGAGGATAACGACGGGTTCAAACCCGTCCTTACCAAATCTGGTAAGAGGAAGGCGGCAAAATCACTAAAGGCGCCGCCGCCAAACAAAAAACCATCGACCCCAGCAGCTGCCGGTGCAGCTGCGCACGCACCTGCGGGCACACCTGTGTCCGCTCCTGCGGGTCTATCTGGGTCCGCACCCAAAGCATTTACAAAATACCCGCCGCCGTTATACATTAGAACCAATAAGAGCTGGAACGCCATATCCAGCCTCTTAAACGACAAAAAGATAAAATACGTGTCGGCACGTAATACTCAGGCGGGAATTAAGGTCACCGCGGCCACACCGAATGACCATCGCGCGTTATCCGCGATGCTTAGACTACAAAAATTAGAATACCACACCTACGTCCTCCCGGAGGAGCGTAGGCTAACAGTCGTCATCAAGGGTCTCCCCGCGGAGATTCCCATTGATGAAATAAAAGAGGACCTTAAGTCCCAAAACCTGCCAGTTTTAGAGGTGCATTGTATGCACCGACCAAATAAAAACCCGTTCGATATGGTGCTAGTCCACCTATCACTAACCCCGGAGGGTAAGAAAATATTCAACATCCCATCAGTTTGTCAGCTTTCCGGACTGACTATAGAGCCACCGCGGAACCGCGGAGCCCCGGGGCAATGTCACCGTTGCCAACTTTACGGGCACTCGCAGAGGTTCTGTTACGCACGCCCGCGCTGCGTAAAGTGCCTAGGCGACCACGCCACAACAGACTGCACGAGGGATGCGGCTACGGTGGAACCGCCCAGCCGCGTCTTGTGCGGACAGAGACGGCTCCGGAGGAGAACCTAGATCGGCTCATCAAGAAGCATTTCGCCATAGAGTCGTTTGGGGTACAACCGCGTCGACCTACAACCGACGCGGAGGGCAAGGCGCGCCAGATATTAGAAAGTACCACCAAGCAGCTGAGAGATGGTCGTTTCGAAACTGGCCTCCTGTGGCGGAACGAAGATGAGCCGACTCCGGATAACCTGAGGTCAACAGAAAACCGGCTGCGCCACATTGAAAGGAAGCTGGACAGGGACCCGAAGCTCAAAGCGGAATACGGGAGGCAAGTCCAGCACCTGCTGGACAGCGGGTACGCCGACGAGGTTCCAGAAGACGGCGGCTCGGCGAGAAGATGGTATCTGCCGCATTTTGCCGTGACCCATCCCACAAAAAGAAGATTAGACCGGTCTTTGACGCCGCTGCGAAGTTCAACGGGAAAAGTTTGAATGATATATTATGGCCAGAGCACAGGAAATTCAAGACGTCTATCACCGGGGAGGAAAAAGAAGCCAAGCACCTCGTGGCCGTCGTTTCACCTAGCACATAGCCTTCCCACACCTGACCCGGTGAGATTCTCCCGGTGGGTAAGGCTCCTACGGGCAACCGCGAGGGTACTTCAATTCGTTTTCAACTGTGCCGCAGGGAAAGGACTCTAAGCACACGATCCAGCGACCCGGTGTGGACAAAGAAACACAATAAAACGAAAACGAAGGCACAGCACTCAGCTCCACTCGCAATAAAGGAGCGGTACCGTCCCCTGGAGCCCGAATGGCTAAAAAAGGCGGAAGAATTGCTACTACGAAGAAGCCAAGAATGTTTCAAAGAGGAAAGAAAGGCTGTGGAGAGCCAGCAACCCCTAGACCGGAAGAGCAAACTTAAACGGCTGGATATCGCCGTGAACGATGGGCTTATAAGGATCCGCGGCAGGATCGACGCCGCCGAAGAACTCGACCGCGATCTCAGGCAGCCAGTAGTGTTAGACGCGAAAGATGACATTACGAAGTTGATCCTGACCCATTACCACGATAAGTTCAATCCCGGTAACCACGCTACCGTGATGAACGAAGTAAGGAGAAGGTTTTGGGTCCTGGGCCTGAGATCAGCGGTGCGAGAGATAGCCCATCGATGCCAGTGGTGTCTAGTACGTAAGGGCACTCCGAAGACCCCACCCACAGGAGATCTACCGCGGGAACAGCTCCGATACGGCGAGCCACCTTTCACTTGTACCGCGGTGGATTATTTCGGCCCAATGACGGTCACCGTGGGGAGGAGAAACGAGAAGCGGTGGGGGACATTGTTCACTTGCCTCACCACCAGAGCGATTCATTTAGAGTTGGTCGCCTCATTATCGGCCGACTCGATGACACTGGCGCTCAGAAGGATGACGGCCCGCCGGGGTTGGCCCAAGGTTATGTTTAGTGACAACGGGACCAATTTCGTGCGGGCTAACAAAGAAGTTATCGAGGCGCTCGGAGCGGAAGCACAATTGAAGGGCATCAGGTGGAAGTTCATACCACCTGGTGCCCCGAACATGGGAGGCGCGTGCGAGCGTCTGGTGGCCTCCGTAAAGACGGCCCTCTCCGCGACGTTGAAAGAAAGGAAACCAAGGGAAGAAGTTTTGCATACCTTGCTTTTGGAGGCCGAGCATATAATAAACTCGCGGCCACTAATAGAAGTAGATGACCACAAGGAAGAGTCTCTGACCCCAAACCATTTCCTGATTGGGAGGTCTTGCGGGGCGCCGACGATGGGAACATTCACTGAAGACGAGGTCAAGGGTAGGACCTGGAAAGCAGCGCAACATCTAGCGGACCACTTCTGGGCGAGGTGGATGAAAGAATACCTCCCTACTCTTGTTCCTCTTCGAATTGGAGGCGGCGCCGACACCGCAGATCTTCAGCAGGGGGACGTGGTCATCGTTGTGGACTCGACGCTACCAAGAAACTCGTGGCCGCGAGGAGAAGTGATAAGGGTTTACCCAGGCCCCGACGGGCGAACGCGCGTAGTAGACGTGCGCACCTCCACTGGCCTTATAAAAAGGCCGAGCTCGAAGATTGTAAGGCTGGTGAGCCAGCCCACCGTTGAAGACAAGATCGCCGAGCAGCAGCGCGGCGGTCCGGAACAGCTTCGCGTCGCCGGACAAGAGGATGGTGCGAAGCACGAGGGGGAGGATGTCGGCGACGCAGCTAATACTTAGTAGATAATTAGATTTAAATATAAGAGATGTAAATATTAAGGAAGTTAGGTTAATATTTATATAGAAATTGTATGTTTAATAAATAAAAGACTACGGAAAGCGACTCTTGTAAGAGCGCATCATGTTAATTGTAAATGTACACGTATAACTATGAATATATCTATGAGCGTCTCTTGCAAGAGCGCAGTCTATTGTTGTAAACTCGATGCGAACCTATTGAACAATAAACGTACGGCGGTAGAGTCACTTGGAAGGGGCGGGGCATTCGCGCTGACTCACAGCGGTGCTAGGTGCGCGCGCGCAACGCGTATAGAACACGGCCGCTGTGAGTCGAAAAGTCAGTCATCAGCCAGCTCTCGTGATTACAACAACTCCTACGCTTTGAAGAACCCGAACAGTGAAGAACCCGAACATTGAAGAACCGAACTTAAAGATAGTGACTAGGGACCACGTGGTCATTTAAACCAAGTGATTCTGCCGCCATTACTAGCAAGTTGTGGTTTCATTGTGAACGGCGATACGACCCGCCTCGAACACTGATCCCGAGGATCGGATCACCGGCCGCCTACTATCGGAGGAATCAATATCTGATCCCATCCACCCCTCAAGCGGCGAACGATTCCAATTGTAACAATCGGACATCCCGACCGCAACAACACCTCAGTCATCTACACTACAAACATCCGTTTTAGAATTAGCCTTCATTAAATATTTTAATATTGTTATCAGTCTTAACACGTGGCGTCCTATACAAAGACTCGTTTGAATATCATTTAATGTACTTGTTTTACAATTACCTTTATATGTATTTTAACACAAACATGTAAAGAGATATAAGATTTTCGCGAGTCTTATTCATTTAAATAAACATGTATCTCATGATCGATGGACAGACAATGTAGTGAAAACATACGACGGTAGTGAAACTATGAGTACTTTGATTGAGGAAGATGTTTCTGAAGGAGAGCTCTAAATTGTTTTAAATAAATTAAAATTAATTATCATTCCAGGAGGTTCTTTGATATCAATAGACACATCAAACACGTACTGTACATGTTTATAGTGAACACACTCCTTATATTGTCTGGAGACTGCTACAGTTGATACTTCAAGTCTTCTCTATTCTAATATGTTACACTAACCGAGTCATTCTCCTCTTCATATAACTCTATGTTTCATCAATACTTGGTTCATTGTTAGTTTTCATCTAACACTTGATGATCAGCCGTCATCTCCTGATGGATGAATCTCAAGTACAGTCCAATAACACCATCTGTAAAACATAATACAATATTGTTCTTATATAAAGACATACAAAGACACTTACTTCAATTATTGTCGTTTAAAATAAATTATTAAATGTTTAAAAAAATTACAAAAATACTCGCTTATAAGATACCAATCTAATGTTTGGAGGAGGTGCTCTCAAAGGTGCAGGAACCAAACCGTAAATGACTTAATGGCTAAGGAATCGAAGGTTAATAGGAGAACACTCACCAGCAGCACCAGATCCGCTGTGTGGCAGATTGAGTATGGAGTCAGTGACAGTATGGAGTCCGGAACAATCAGCAAGGAAGAGCAAAAAGACGAGCTCCTGGTCGGCGGAACTCCTGAAATAGAATAACAATACAATGTAGTCATTTAAATAACAATGAATGACCAAACATTAAATATACTTAATGTTAAATTCAATGTTAAAAATGTCAAAATGTTAAATGTTAGAATGCTAAAATGAAATATTTTAAAATGTAATATGCTAAATGTAAAATGTTTAAATGTCAATGTTTAAATCTATACTAATATTATAAAGCTGAAGAGTTTGTTTGTTTGTTTGAAAGCGCTAATCTCCGAAACTACTGGTTCGAATTGTATAATTCGTTTTGTGTTGGATAGCTCAGTTATCGAGGAAGGCTGTGGGCTATATAACATCACGCTACGACCAATAGAAGCAAAGATATAGTGGTAAATGTGTAAAAAACGGGAGAAATTATTTCATCTTTCAAGCATACGTTGCGTGCGCCGTGAAAATGGTTCAAGATACACAAAAAATATGTATTAAAGAATAATAGCTCTTTTAATGATCTAAAAAAACAGTCCGAGACAGTATATGTCTATCTTTTAAGATTAACTCACAAAAACCGTTTTTATGGTACCTAATTTTGTCGAAATAATTTGTTTAAGTTGTATCAACATAATAATATTAATCTTTATTCAAATAAACAAATAAATATGTTGTTGGTTAAGAGCACTTCATTATTAATTAAAAAAAAACATAGGTTTTATCCTGAAAATTCTACGGGAACTCGACCATTCCGAAAACCCCGCAAGAACGGGAACTATGTGGTAAAAAACAAAAATTTGTCGGAACTCACTATTCCACGCGGACGAAGCCGCGGCAAAAGCTAGTGTTAAATATGTCGTTACATAAATTTAATGTAAAAATTAAGATAAATGTAAAATGTAAATAGGATTAGGGCAAATAATTGTAAATAGTGAAAAATTAAAAATAAATTGTAAAATAGAATTCTCGCAATTGATAAAAGTAAACTGGAAACGTATGAAAAGTCATCAAGGACAATATAATAAGAAATAAAAGATGAAAATAGTATAATAGTATATAAGTCAGGAACACGATAGGAAAGGTATAACCTAGGAATGAAAGAGATGTATGACAGAAAGATAGTATGAGGAATGAAAGGCCCTAGCAAAAGAGAGAACTAGCATGAAAGTGTTGAAGAACAAAGGTCTCTGACCACGTCAGAGGGACTAGCATCAAAAAAGTACCAATCTAAAAAGTTATAAATTTTTATAATTCTGATTAAAAATATTATGATCAAAAAACGGATTTTTTTTGGTGTTAAAGTTCGCGGAGTGCTAGATATTACTATTCTGTTAAACCGTACTAATATTATAAACTAATATTATAAATGCGAAAATAACTCTGTCTGTCCGTCTGTCTGTTACGCTTTCACGCCTAAACCACTGAACTGATTTTAATGAAATTTGGTACGGATATAGAGTTGACCTTGAGAAAGAACTAGGATAGTTTTTTATCCCAGACTCTTGAAAAGTTCTCTTGGAAACGCGATATAACCGTACTCGACGCGGGTGAAGCCGCGGGCGGAAAGTTAGTTAAGCCATATAAGGCAGATGTGTACTATGTTGGTACACGTGAGCAATTCTCTTCATTTTAGGCTCAAACACATGGATACGTACTCTTTCCCACGGTGTACACTCGCCTCTCACGACTTGATATTTATAAGTGTACCGTTATATTCTAAAATCTAAAGATACATCGCGCTTTTTTAAATTAAGTTAATTTCTTTCATTTACTATTCCTCTTTAATATAAATTATTTAATAAAAACAACTTTGTAGTTTAGTATTTCTTAACACTGTTTTTTACATTAATTTATTTTCCATGTTTTTGTTTTGCTAACAACAGATATGTTTTCCTTTTTTGTATCATGAATTGCCTGATTTATATAAGCGATAGCAATTATTTTCCAAATCCCTCTTAATATTATAAATGGGCAAGTAACTGTCTGTCTATCTGTATGTTACGAGTATGTTTTCACGACTAAGCCGTTGAACCGATTGTGATGAATTTTGTATGAAGATAGATGATACCGATTACACGATCCCAACATTTCGCGGGTGGAACCATGAAGTGGAAGCAGTTCAGGTTCAGTGGCCAGAGTGACAGAGAACAACTCATGTCCACGCGGACGGAGCCGCGGGGAAAAGATAGTTATTATTATAATTACTATTATTTATTTCAGGAAAGAAGTTACAAACATACAAACCAACATACAAGTGAAGCTAAGAAACAAGCGTTAGAAATATTTTCTGTAAATCAGTAAGCCATAACGTATGGATGTGTTGAAAACAATCGAATAACAATAAGGAGCTACTTAAAATACTTAGTATTGTGAATAATTTAAGATAGTATTAAACAGTTAGTGAGGTTACTTTTAATTTGAAAAAATTGATAATATTTCTTTTATTGCATTTCTTCAAATAACAATATCACGGGTGACATCATTGTGTCAGAAACGTTCAATTAATGTAATACGTAATAATAAAAGTGATTAAATGGACAGTAAAATAGTTCAACCTAACTCTGAACAATAACAGAATAATATTAAATATTCAACAGTACATACCGTCACACTACTATCGTACATCAGCTACATACACTTCTCTTCATAGAAGGTTTCCTCTCGTCCGCAGACCACGTCCTAACAGACGCTCCACCAACAGCTTCGACCCTCATCTTGAATTATACATATATATAAGGAATATTATCAAGGGCACTCAAAGCAAAGCACATTTTGTTTCTCTGAAAATACAAAGATTTATTGTACTGGACACGCCTTTACAATATTATAACAATTATTGTTTAATTATGACATGTATTGTTTAATTATGACAATTACACTTTACCTGAAAATACAAAGAAACGTCATTAAAGTCCACTAATATCGCCTTCTCAATTATATCCCTTGACTATCTCTCTACACGTTGTAATAATCATGAAGTGCACAAAACTTAAACATAATTCGCCATTAGTGAATAGTGACGCGTCTCTGGTCGACAAGTAATAAATACGCGAAGCGCGGCAAATTTGAATTTAATGAAATTCCATTTCATTACATATATTCTTACGAGTCCTATAATGTTACGAATGATACTATTTTATCTAAAGATTATATATTTATTAATATACTATTCGACTTACAAGAAGACGCATTTAAGGGCGTGGCCTAAAATTATAAAGATAAAAGTGAGAAAAATGTATAAAAATAAAGTAAGCCATCGAAACGACAACGTTTTAAATCCTGCACCCAAAGTTACGCTTAGAAAATAATTCAAAACTCCTACCACGTACTACGCAAGGTATAAACAATAATATCAAACAAAACTAAAAATGTTACTAAATAAGTATAAGAACTTAATGTCAATAATAAAAATATATCAATTAGTTATATAAAGAAACAC